AGGCAAGCGAGACAGCCCAGACAATGGAGGGAGAGGCAGAGGTTTAAATATTTTAGGCAGTGATTTTCAAAAGCAGAGATTGCATATAATTCCCACCCTAATTCAAGAGAACTGACTTGAAGAACTTAGGAACTCTTCTGGAGCAAAAGAGAGTCGTGGTTGACTCAACATCATGAGATCATTGGCAGCAAACTCTTTGTCCAACACACATGCACGTACCTGCTGCTTTGTTCTCAATCTACAACATCTGTAAAACTGTTTGCACGCCTGGGAAAAACTGCTGATGTTTGCTTAAACACTGTCCTCTCCCTGGCTACATGGGATTTCATTCAAGCTGGTGTCATTTTTGAAGTTCAATTTTCAAGCTGTAAAAGACTTCTGAACTAAACTACTGTCCCAAGACAACAATGTTTTTGTTTTAGAGACTTCTAAGTCTTTGCTGGAGAATCTCTAAAACAATTCTTGAACATCAGGTAGCACACATGTTCAGTATTCCATGGGAAAACAACTGAACTCCCAGTTGCCAGGCAAAAATTTTGCAACAGTATTTTTCACATCAGTTTCTACCAAGAGGAATAAATCCGTCCTGCATTCTGAACACCACTGCTAGGGAATAAACTCAGAATCTCTCTGCTACACCCACCACAGGATATACATATTAACAAATACAGGTTACTACTGCCAGAAGGCAGGACTTTAGGACAAGACACAAATTCCAGCTCTACTCCTGCAGCCTTTCAGGTGCACAGCGCAGCAACCACCGGGCAGCACCTAAAAGCCCATGTCCTCCCTCCACCCGCGCCAGCGCCGCGCTGCTCCGCTCGCAGCAATTTGGGTTCTTTGATTCTGCTGCACACTTGACCTGGCTAAACCTTCCTCCAGCTGAGCGAGCTGCATGTTGTGGCAGCGCTGGGCTGGGGAGGCATTGTGAAATAAAGTGGGAGGCCTCATGTGCTCATTTGTGTGTCAGTACCCAGAATGCTGCTTCTGGCTTCCAGCTACTTCATAGAAGTGCTGCTGGGACTTGAACCGTGGGAACACGGCAGCGCTGGGTGTGTGGGTGTGCTCACACGCGTGCAAGGACAGCTCTGGCTCTCCTGGGCCCTGCTCACAGCCCGTCCTGCTCAGGGTACAAATGTCTGGCACACATGTGGGGAATCTCAAAGTGCTGTCAAACGCTGCTCAGTTCAGTATTGAAGAAAAAGGGTTCAAAACAGACACAGCTGAACCCACCCTCCTGTTCTGGAAATAGCAACCAACAAAGCCTTCAGGGCTGCGTCTGAACTAATGCTGTGTGAGTGGAGCATCCTGATGTGAGGCAGGCAGGGAGCTCTCTGTCACACGGGAGTGGAGAGCAGTGCCACAGACACACCGAGGCCACAGCGGTCCCACAGGAGAGCACGCACCAGGCACCAGGAGCTGAGCCCACGAAAAGGCTTTGGCACCGATGCTGGATTTCTAGCACCCTGTTTTGCAACCCTGTCAGGTTATTCACATTTTTAATTTCTAGAAATACTCCAGAATGTAATGGTTGTGCTCCACACCAGCAATGGTGGATGAGATGAGACAGGCAGGGAAACAGGACACCCACTCAAGTAAAAGCCTTGTTGGTGCAGAGGAAAGCAAAGCACAACAAACCCTGCATGGGAAGGTGGAGCACACAGTGAAGGATGCTAAGGAAGTAAAATGGAGAAGTTGTAGAGCTCAAGAAGAGAAAGAGCTTTGGGAAGCGGCATCAAGGTGAACGAGGTCAGTTACTCATCCAAGCACGAACAAGGAGGATATAAAACCCAAAATTTTAGAAGAGCATAAGGAATGTTACTGAGGCCTTTATGGTCCTTGCTCTAGTGGGGGGCCCCAGCTGTCACAATTCCCTCCAGCTTTTGGTTAAGACCCTTTGCTGACTTCACACAGGTCTGGACAAAGGGTTCTTCTGCAAGTGGCAAGACCAGGCAACAGGAGTCTTGTTCAACCAACACCGCTGACAGAGAGAGGAGATCTTTGCATCTACACATGCATCTCCTGGTACAGAAGGATGGATATGCACTATAGATACTTGATGTAGAGAGAAATATGCACTGGGAATGAAATATCTAGGAAAAGCTACGCCTTGTAGCAAAGCTTTAAAACCACGCCAAGGAAAAAAAAAAAAAAGAAAAAGAAAAAAAAATGAGAGAGAGGAAAAAAAGGCAGTTCTGCCACTACGCTGAATCTGCACCAGGGGCTTGTGCCAATCCAGCTCCTCCATTTAAGTCAGACCCTTAAAAGGCAGAGCTGTGCTGGCAGAAATCTCCAAACCTCATCATAGAAACCTCATGGAGACACATGAAAAGGTCAAAACATTCACTGCTGCTTAAACAGCCATAAAATTGGTCATATGCATCCCATGCTACCAACATACTACCAGAGCCCCAGGGAAAACACACCACACAAAGCAATGTGTGTATACACACAGAGAAATAAATAAATTGAGAAACTGAAAAAAAAAAGGCCACTTCTGAATGCAGAAAACCCAGTATCTGACACAGCAGCTTATGGCATACCAGGTACACGAACACCTCTGTATGAAATAGAACAAAGCAAAGCTGAGATCTACATCAAAAAGGAAGCCCACCACAAAGACACATGTGCCTCACCCTTTCATCCCTGAGACAGCCAGAGCCCCACAGACACACAAAACCCACACAGGATTTAACACACACGGAATGGGACCATCCTGTCATTTCCTCACTAGGCATCTAAACTTTACTCCAATGTTACTAGCCCCTGGCCACAGCCTACCAATCTTAGAGTCTGATTAAATCTCTCCGTAATTATCTGCACACACTGCTACAACACAAATGACCTTAGCATATGATATCCGTTGGCTAAGCCCAATGGAAAAAGACTTCAGGAAAAGGAAGGATAAGTATACAAAACTCTGCCAGCACCGTCAGGGTCTCCTCAGGACTTCACTGCTTTAATAGAAGAGACCTGAAGGCCTTGAAACTTAATATGAGATAAAACATTCTGTTTTCCCTACCCCATCGTCTGAGCACACACCACTCTATTCTTCCCCACCTCACGCCTTGCCACCTTCCAAATTAATTAATGCAGGAGACTTAGCATTTCATTGTAATGTATTTCTGGCAAAATTTTCCAAAAAATAGATGGCCACCATTTCCTTGCACGATTTTTGGCGTTCACTATTAGGTATCTTCAATTCACTCTGCACTCCAGGCAAATTTTGGAGGGCGAGGGAAGAGTGTTTCTCATATTCTGAACTAGGACCTATGAAAGGGTCCCCAAAAAAACTGAGGCACGGCAAAAATTTAGTAACCTTTTCTTGTTCTACTGCAGCCTCACCTGGGGTGTTGGATAGATGATGCAGTTGAAGAGAACACTGAAAAAGCCTTGCAAGAAAAGGAAAGCACTTCTTTACTAACATTCATTTTAATTAGACTCTGGAAATGACCAAGCCAGGGAAACAGGACCTTTCTACAACAAGAATGTGGAGATTTCTTCATTTTACTTCCCAAACAAAGCATGCCTAGAAAATTCCTTTCCCAGCATGAAAAATGTCTCCAGTTTGAGAGCCATATTCTCCTCTCACACCCATGTAGATCTATCCCACCATTCCATCTCGGCACATGACTGACGGAGAATAGACAAGCCATTAAAAACACATCCACCTCCAACCACGGGGATAATGTGCCTCATTACAGCCCAGCTTTGTCACAGCGTCCTGACACTCCGGGGAGGAAAAGGAGGGGTGAGGACAAGGACTGAGAGGGGTGAGGACAAGGACAGGAGAGAAACTGGAAGAGTGAGACTCTGCTCCTTAATCCAGAAGTGTGCAGCCCGGTCAGATGGGCTCACTAGGCCTCCTAGTCTGGTTGTGGAATTACTGTACTGTTTGCACAACATGTTTTTTTTTTTAATCTGGGGTTTGCTTGGGTATTTCTGTTGCACTTTTGGAAGTCTCTGACAGTGAGGCAGAGCCCAACCAACAAACCTGCAGGGGAGAACTGGGGAGGCAGGAGTTTGTTTTCCCCTCGCACGGGGGGAAGGAGCAGGAAGCAGAATTGCTCATCCCCAGCCAGCTGCACCATGGCAGGAGCCAGACAGACATCCCGGAGTCCCCAAGGCCTTGTGGCACTGCTGCCCATGGAGCAGGACCGGTGCCAGATGCCAAGGCAGCCTCCCACCCACACACCAGGGATTCTGGGATCTAAAGGCAGCTCAGACTGAAATAAAAACAAGCGGCACCTAAAAAAAAAAGTGATTTGGCTGTCTGGCTCAGCACAGCACGGCATGGAATACCTTCAGGAGCTGCTGCAGCTGGCCCTAGACACAGTCATTTGCTGGATGTATACACAATCCAATATACAAAAGCCTGTCTGCTGGGCAAATCTAAGCTCCATAGGGATACTCTAAAAGCAGGGACTTCTCCATTCACGTTCTGAACACTTCATCTATAAACCAGTAACCTGCACTACCGGCACAATTTTTTTTTTTTTTTTTTCTTAACAGGCACATTTTATTTTCATACAAGCATTTAGAGCATTCAGCCCGCACCTCCATCCCGGGCGACACTCAAGCGACCAGAAAAGTGCATGGACTTGTGTCTGGAGCATCAGTACCTGCTCCCTTTTTCTGGCTTCTTCCTTGCCTTGACCCCCGAGTGAAGAAGCCCTTAAAGACCCGAAATCACGCACTGCCAGATAAAGTCTGGGCAGTGTGATGGGCTTCAAAGATCAAGGTCCACACATAGTAAAACATACAACTACACACACGTAATTTAAACAAACTCCAAGCACCGTGGTCAGAACACAACCAGAGAAATAAAGGTGCCATCTCGAGCACTGCTCCTCCACAGTGACACACACGCGGAGAGAATGGAGAACACGATTAAAATTGCTAAATGACTCCAAGGAAAAGCAGCTGGTAACAACTTGGGTATATCGATGAATGTTACAGAAATTCCCCCCGCCCCCTTTAAAATCACAGGCACCACTTACCCGAGGGGCTTTCCTCTTGTATTTGTTGTTATAGTCAAATTTTTCTTTCATTTCATCTAAGAGCTGGCCCAGTCTAGCTTTCTCCTCTTTCCCAGTATAATCCTGGCTGAGGAGGATATAGGATCTCCAGTTTGCAGAGTCAAAGCCCCAGTGGCAAGTCCTGTTTTCCAGCGATTTGTGAGAATGGACCACAAATTTGTGAGGTGGGTACATGAGCCTGCAGTCCAAGCACTGGATGCAGGCTGCGCTGGGGTTACTGTAAAGCTCTGGCACCAGGAGTCCCTTACACTTCCCAAAGCACTCATGATACACCTTGAAGCTCTTCTCCGTGAGCTCCAGCTCAATTGTGCTAGAGAATTCCTTCTTGCAGTGGGGAGGATAGGTGCCACCATAAAGCAAGGCGTTACAAAGCCTCTCAGCATCAGTTTTCGTGATGAGCCCGCAGGAAGGAGCGGAGAAGGGCAGGATGCCCATGACTTTGAGGATTTCCAGCTGGTCAGCAGTGCATCTGGAGCAGTAAATATGTAGCTCATCACACACCGAATTAATCTGCTGCAGGGAGAAGTCCCTGAGCACCGAGTTCAGGATCTGGGGCAAGCAAAGCCGCTTCTCTCCGCCCACCACGAAGCAGGAGATGGTTTCCCCTTCCAGGATGGTCTCGCACCTCTCCGTGGATCTGTCCGAGGGCATGAAGAAGGGACCAGGCATGACCGGAGGAGGCTGGATCGGGGGCAGATGCAGTACAGGTTCCGCTGGGTCTTTGCCATTGTCTTTCTTGTACATCTCCTGTGCCCATCGTGCTGAGAAAGCAGCAGGGCCACCCAGGGAGCTCATAGAGCTCAGATGAAACTGTTCCAAGGTCTTCTGCAGTCCTGGATGAGGCTGGAAGCTGCTTCTACTTACAGTCTCCATTTTTTAGTTTCTATTCCCAAAACAAATAGCAAAAAATCCCCAGTTATCTTCCACCCTGGTGCAAATCCACTTAAGGGATTTTTTTAAAGGAAAAAATATTAACAAAATAAAACAACCCACCCTTGTGTTTTTCCTCCTTCTCACTCAGCAATCCACTAACGGAGAGGAAATAAATCCTTTTGTATGCGTGTCTCTCTCTTCTTTCTCTTCTCTTGCTTCACGTTACAATTTCAAACCCTCCAAGTCTCCAAGCTGCCCCGATGGAGCACGGAATCACGGCAAAAAGAGGTCTTCATCCGAGCACTCACCCCCTCAGCCAACCCCCAGGCAAACCAATCCCTCCTCCCACACCTCCAACACACACTCACTCACACACACACACACACCACCCACAGAAACACAAAAAGTCTGTGCCACGCTCCGAGCACCCGGGGCTCAAATATGTTCTGGCGGCTGCTGCTTCTCTGCAGTGATCCCCCTTCTGTCCATATCCACCGAGGGAAGGCGCGGGGGAGGAAAGTAGAAGGCAGGAGGAGGCAGCACGCTGGGTCTGTGGAAGGAACAACGCAGGAGAAAAGGCCCAGATCTCCGGCACTGCCAAAGCGGCGCGGGGGCTCCGCACGGGCGAGGAGCGGCTCCGCGGCCCCTCGTGGTCCGTCCGCTCGGCCTGGGAGGGCTCCTCGGCTCTCGGTTCGCCTTCCTTGCCTTATTTCTGCCGGTGCTGCCGCTGTGCCGTGGGGAGCCGCGGTGAGAGCGCGCACATCCTCCCAGCTCCTCTTTCCAGCAGTGACTGAGAGTGCCTGAGAGCTGAGCTAATGCAGGCGGGCTCAGCCTCCCGCCCTCCGCCTCCCCCCCTGTGTTTGTTGGTGTCTGCCTCAGTCATTGAATCCCGGCCAAGAATGTGACCAACTCCCCGGGCCGGGCTCTTCCAGGAACAGCGCCCGCCTCCCCCTTCGCGCTGCGCCCAGACCGGCCGGGATGTGCCGGGATCAGCCGAGCCGAGCCGAGCCGGGCCAAGCCGAGCCACTCCAAGCGAGCCCGGCCGCGCCGAGCGCAACCGAGCTGATCGAAGCCCGGCCGAGCCGAACCGAGCTGGGATGTGCCGTGCTGAGCCGAGCCGAAGCCCGGCTTCGCCGAGCCGAACCGAGCCGGGATGTGCCGTGCTGAGCCGAGCCGAACCGTGCCGAGCTCAGCCGAACCGGGCCGAGCCGCTGCACGGGCGGGCGCGCGGCGCAGCGCCGGCGAGGGAGGGAGGGAGGGAGGGAGCGGGGGGAGGATAAACTGCTGGGTTCACGGACCGCCGCGCCGCCGAGGAGGGGCGGTAGGGCGAGGGCTTTTCCCCGCTCGCCGCTGGATTTCTGGCAGCGGTGAAATGGAACAGGCGCGGGCAGCGGCTCTGGTCGAGCTCACACGGGCACGGAGCGTGTGTGAGCACTCACGGCGCCCTGCCCGGCGTCAACTGCGGGCACACGCCCCGCGCCGACAGCAATCTCAGGCGTGAGAGCGCAACTGATGGGCGACAACCGCGCGGGACGAGAGCGCATCCTCGGGGCGCCGCGGGACACCGGAGCCCCCAACCCACTGAGCGCTACAGGCGACAGACACGCGTGTGCGTCCCTGTCCCGGCACACGTATGCTCCCTTGCTCCGACACACATGTGCTCCCCGCTCCCGGCACACGTCACACGCTCCTTCCACCCACAGGCGACGCTCAACGCGTGGAAGAGGCGTGAGAGGCGCAACCGCAGCGCGGGTGGGCAGGGGCTGGGCTGTCCGAGCCCTCGCTGGAGCAGGAAGGCGGAGGCAGCACTAGGACCACGCTGGTGGCACACAGGCGGGTCGGCTCCTGGGGTCCCACCCGCGGGGCCGGGGCTGTCCGGTGTGTCCGGCGTGTCCGGAGTGTCCGGGGCTGTCCGGCGTGTCCGGCGTGTCCGGCGTGTCCGGAGTGTCCGGGGCACCGAGCGCCCCCCGCACGGCGGGGACGGGCGCCCTCTACCGACCGATGAGAGATCACCGCGACCGCCCCGCGCAACGCGGCCGTGCACGGACACCACTGACCACTGAGCAGGGCACGGACACCACTGACCACTGAGCAGGGCACGGACACCACTGACCACTGAGCAGGGCACGGGCACCACTGACCACTGAGCAGGGCACGGACACCACTGACCACTGAGCAGGGCACGGACACCACTGACCACTGAGCAGGGCACGGACACCACTGAGCACTGAGCAGGGCACGGACATCACTGACCACTGAGCAGGGCACGGACAGTCACTGACCACTGAGCAGGGCACGGACACCACTGACCACTGAGCAGGGCACGGACAGTCACTGACCGCTGAGCAGGGCACGGACACCACTGACCACTGAGCAGGGCACGGACAGTCACTGACCACTGAGCAGGGCACGGACACCACTGACCACTGAGCAGGGCACGGACACCACTGACCACTGAGCAGGGCACGGTCACACACTGGCCATAGCATGGACATACACTGCCCATTGCACAGTCATTGCCCATGGCATGGACACCACTCACCATGGACCATGGCAAGGACACCCACTGACCATGGCACAGATCCCCACTTCCCATTGCATGGATTTTCACTGTCCACAGCATGGGCACACAGTAACCATGGCACAGACACCCAGGGCAGGGACACCAAGTGACCATAGCACAGAAACCCACTGCCCATGGCACGGGCATCCAGTGCCCAGGGCATGGACACCAACTGATCACAGCACGGACACCAAATGACTAGGCATGGGCACCCACTGCCCAGCAGCACTGCAAACTCCAGTATGGATTTATTATTCAGGTCAGGAGTGAGATGCTTTTACTTATTATTAATATCAAATTTCAAAGCAAAAATCCTGTGTATTCTCCCATTTTCTATGGACTGCACACCCAGAAGTCTAACAAGCATTTCAATCTTAGCATCACGATTAAGGAACAAGTTGAAAAGGTTTCCACTGTTATTTCAGAGCTCTGTCAACTGTGTGCCAAAAAGGGCTAGGGAGCACTTTCACACACCAGCACAATTGTTAATAGTGTTTGAAATTCAACAAGGACTTTAAGCCCTGCTCATCCATAGAGTGTGACTGAGAGACACAGACATTGAATTTTGGACAGTCTCCTCTGGAAGAGTTCATGGCAGTGGAACAGCAGAAAAAACACATCAGGACAAAAGAGGAGGAGCAAACAGACAAATATCCAAACAGTGCTTAAAAGAGCAATTGGAAAACAAACCCGCTGTGATTTACTCAGACTCATTGTAATGGGGCAGGACACACACCAAGCTCTTGTGTTTTATTTCTACTTTTATATTCTGAAATCTTGTTCAGAATAAAGGGGAAAGGTGTGTAAGAGTTGTGTAAGAGCTTTGACCTTGCCTCTAAGTCAGTATTTCCTCAGAGAGGAACCCACTCTCACATACCCAACTTGGACATCAACCCTCAAAGTGCTAAATGGCTTCAGAAGAGGCAGGAACCAAACACATTGATCCAGGCCAGCAGCTGTGTCTTCATGTGCTCAGAGAAGACCCTTGGAGAATCTCCACCAAATTGTTGTAATAGGAAGCCACTGGTAGCAAGAAGGAACCTTGAAGTTTCTGTTTATACAATCCATCACACAAGGATTTGGTGATCCATGAGTGGGATTTTTAGATATTACCACAATACCAAGGTCTAAAGATGGGATTTAACAATCTAGGCCATACAGCCCTTGTTGATTCCTGATGCTAAACAAGTTACCACATTAAGAGAAAGCAGGGCTAGAAATATTCCTCACTGGGTAACAGGATAATCTAAAAGGTTTTAATTAAGAATAATTTTTAAATTACAGTCTTCTTTCGATAATACGAGGGACATCCACCCATTCCACCATTTCCAAACTGAAGGGTGTGCTTTGGTGTAAATGAAAACCCCTCCCAGCATTCAGCCTCCTCTTAGAGCAGCTCTGACTGTGACTGTGACAGGGGAGAAGCACCAGACACACAGTGAATTCCCCCAGGGCTGTGGCAGTTGACCAGACTGTCACCAGAGACACTCGGATACAATGGGGACCAGCAGCAGGATCACTCCCGAGATGCATTTAGTGCAGTTTCAGGCCTTTTTATAATCCACTAAAATACAAATGGCCAGATAAACTCAAACATCACATATGGAGTTCCTGATTCTTTTAAAGAACCAAACTAATGCCTGCAGGAAGTTTGGATAGCAATGGAAACGCTTCTCAGCTCTGGAAGCTGGGTTGCTTTTCTTTTTTTTCACTCCCTCTCCTTCATTCCCTAGAAAGAAAGGACAGCAAGCAGTATCTGCAGTTCATTTTAAGAGAGGTGCCATTTTCTCTTCCAAATGACTTTTTAATGCAAGTAAGTCACTGGATCGTGCAAGAGATTGTTTATGGGTGGAATTCAGAAATGGAATTCCTGAAGCAGAGGGGACTACCAAAGAGACAGGAAGGATGGTCTTGTGGTTAAGACAGAAAACTCCGGACATCTGGGGTCTATTCCCAGATCTCCCACAGATTTCCTGTTGCCTTGGGCAAGTTGCTCAGTCTCTCTGTGCCTCAGTTTCTGTATCTGCAATGCTCAGACAGTGAGCAATTGGAGTGGCAGCTTCCAAACCAAAAGCCATGACGGGACAGAAACCAAGCTCCAACTTCTGCAGTAACAAGACAGCAAAACTTCCACGTCTTTACATCCCACAGACTCTGCAGAACCAAACAGCAGCAGGGCAGGAGAAGGGGGAGCCAAGGGAGCCGTCATGTGGCATTAAGGTGGCAGTGGCTTCTCAAGTCTCTGCCTCTCTATGCCGCATCTTAAAATCAGATTAATCCCCCAGTCAGTCTTGCTCCAGTTCCAAAGCCTTGGAGCTGGAGAAAGGAGAGGGGGAAAATATCTCCGAGGAAGGGCCCTAACACCACAGTGTTTTTCTCACTCTCTCCCTCTTCTCCTCCCCCTCTCCATTGGCTTCAAGGCCAACAGCTCCTGGAACACAAACACTCTTGTAAACTTCTGAACCACACAGCCCTATGGTGGGTGGGTGTTTGCTCCCTGCCTGCCAGTTCCAATCCACCCACAGATTCCAAAGGCCCAGAACAAAAAGCAGACTCCATTTTCCATATTTAACAGGCAGTTCGCTTCCCTCCCCATCGCCTTCGCTCGGTGCCTCTCCCCAGCACCGGGTCCCACCTTTTGCACGTCCCCCGGGCTGGGGGGATGTTTGTGCCAGTGTTTGTACACACACAGGAGAAGTGCAGCCCCCTCTGGTTCTCACTGCCTGCCTGCTCGGGGAGAGCTGGGGATTAGCAAGGGCTGTGCTGCATATTGCAGCTATTTGACAAAACGTTTGGGAAGGGCCTATTGTGAAGATTGTGAAGAAGGAAGGGGGGGAGCGTGGGTGCGAATGCGACACGTCAAAATTCCTGCTGCAGCTCACATTAGACAGCACAGCCCTTGGAGCAGCCAATTTCCACTTTCTCCATGCTTGTACCGTACATTGCCAATTGTGACGAAAGTAAAACAATTTCTGCATGGACAGGATAGTTCCTTCCCTCTTTTCCTTTATTATCATTTATCAAAGTCATCATTTTCACTGATCAATTACAGTGAAACAGGTGAATGCCGAATTATCCAGAACCTGAGGAATAAGGTTTCAAACTCTCTGTTGGAAAGGCTTATCTGAGAGTCAGGTGGTCTTTTTCATTCAAATATTTCAATTTTTCATCAACACGTATATTCCAGTGAAAAAAAATTACTTCACAAATGTGAACTAAATTATCTTTTTGGTCAGAATTCATTTTGAAACATTTATTTTAAACACACCACTTCTTTTTGTACATATTTCTCTGAGATATGCACTAAAATAAGTGAATTTAAGACATCTAAAAAGTCACCAAAAAAGTTTCAAGAATCAGTTAAGATGAACAAACAAAACAAAAATTTTTCACTGTATGAGAAGGTCAGCAATAGACTCCTAACAACTAAAACTTTTTTTTTTTTTTAAATTAATGAAAAAGTTAACTATTTCCAGCACACCTTTCAGGAGAACAAGTTCAGTGAGCTGGGTGGGACTTTTCAGCAATGGCAGCTAGGTTGTGTTTTAGGGTTTTGTGCAGCTCACTGATTTCATTTTGCCACGTTCACAGCAGCTTCTCCCAGAGAGCCCCATGGATTA